TTTTCTGGGTTTTGGACAACAGATGAATATTCATATTACAATTTGTTTTTATAGGTTGTAGTTAATAAATCACAATTTCCACTAAGTAATCATTCCAAATAAATAATCTAAACCCAGAAAAAATGAAGAACAACTCATGTAAGTTTATAAATTAGCTTAAAAGTTAATAATTCAGAGAGCTGCGTTTGTTAAATCTGAACCAGCAGTTTGCTTTAATGAATAGAAGTCGGTTAATGTGGGCTTTGTTTGTGTCTGCTGCCCTTTCCAGGAAGCCGCTGCTGTGTTTCGACCCGCAGATCGTAAATATTTAATCATCGAGTAAAGCTCCTGCTGAGCAGCGATCGAGGACGTCGCCTGCAGTGGCTTCATGCCTGCTGCATTATTCTGATCATTAATGCTGTCGAGGTTATTTTGTGTCCCGTGGTTATCGATTGTCTCTTTGGTGGGGTTGCACTGAGATGACATCCATACACCCAAACTCTCAAGTTACTAAAAGCTCTGTGAACAAATGGGGTGCTGTAATAGTGTTACCCACAGGAAGTGGCTAGTCAGCGTATTCTTCGCCAACTGGTCAACCCATCATAGCTTATAGTTTATCACTGGTTAATTTATCATCTCAGTTTAGATCCAGGTAACCAGGATACCCCAGAAACATCCATACGAGGCTTCAGTATAACCTTCAAGTTCAAACTACGTCACGCAGAATGTCTCTCAGAAATGGGAGTCTGAAGTTCTGAAAAGTCTCGTTTCATTGAGAGCTTTTGTTTGAAGCCTGACTGGACTTCGTTGAGAAACTGAGTGAAACTGTCAGTTTGTTGGTTAGTCATCGTTACTGGAAAGAGGAGCTCTCGTCCTCACAGGCTTGAACTGTTTGGACTCGTGGTCATGAGTCTGCTGTCTCCTGACCTCGCAGCAGGTTGTAGTAGACAAATGTTTCACCAGATCTGTGTTAACACAAACAGGCAGTGGTTAGTGTTATACATTAGTGAATAAATGGATGTTACATCATCCTGCAGATGTGTAGGTGTGCTCCTTATCCATCCTGACAGCCACATCCTCTCCAGCAGTCACCTTCCAGACGTTAATCTGCTTATCGTGCTGCCGACTGAGATAACGCTCAGTCTTTGACAGCAGTTCTTCAGGCTCAGCCAGAGGAAAACCGGTTGTATCCTATTTTATTAACAGAGCGAGTTTGAGGTTTATTTATTGTGTTTAGGCAGCAGAGTGATGCTTTACAGCTTAAATGATTACTACACTGTCCAGAATGCCTCAATAATGAGCTTCAATAAAGGCAGATCTGCTGTCAGACATTTATCCTCACTGTTTCATAAGCACACATTAGCAGAAATCACAGCGTCTTGTTTGGCGTGAGAATAATGTTTCGTTGGGTGGAGACTGTAGCGGCTGAAGCTCAGGAGGCTGAATATGTTCCACTTTATCACCAAAGAGTCCTCTGAACGTCCTGAGGGTAACGACCTGCTACCATCCTTCAAGAACAGCAAAGCTTCAGAAGCTTTTACACCAGTTGCATCGAATCAGTGGGAATGCTGGTGTTTGGCGTGTCACTGACACTGAGGAAAACATGATCAGAGCTGCGTGTTTGGTCAGTTTCAGCCGATGTTTCAGTTTCTTCATTTTCTCAGCTCAACCAATCATCTT